TTGAAGCAAGTTTATAAATTAATTTTACTAATTTTGGCTTTTAATTTTCAACCTCATCATTAACTAGACGGTCTGTAGCCACCCCCCATCCTAGTTTGACGTGTTACACTTAACCAAACCCCATTATTGACAAATTGTGACAGTTCAAGTTTGGCAAAATTGTTCGGAGCCCTAACATTTCAATTATGGGGCTTTTTGGCAAATCTTCGGATCGAAACCCGAAGGAAATGGTGACCGAGTGGAACCACAAGCTGAGGAAAGAGGGCTATCAGCTTGACAGGCAGGTGAACTCGATTAAGAGGGAAGAGGAAAAGGTGAAAAGGTCCTTAAAAGAAGCGGCGAAAAAGGGCGATAAAGACACCTGCACGATACTGGCCAAGGAAATAATCCGGGCAAGAAAGGCCGTGAACAAGATCTACACGTCAAAGGCCCACCTGAACTCTGTCATGCTACAGATGAAAAATCAACTGGCCACCCTACGAGTGGCAGGCTCCCTACAGAAGTCTACTGAGGTAATGCAAGCCATGCAGTCGCTGATTCGCACCCCGGAGGTGGCGCGAACGATGCAGGAAATGTCCAAGGAAATGATGAAGGCCGGGATTATTGAGGAAATGCTTGATGAGACTTTCGAGGGCTTGGAGGATAGTGAGGAGATGGAAGAAGCGGCGCAAAGCGAAGTGGACAAAGTGCTCTTTGAAATCACCGAGGGCAAAATTGGCGAAGCCCCGCTGCCTCCTTCAGAGCCTGCGGAGAAAATTAAGGAGTCCCAAGGTCCAGCAGGTGAAGAGGAAGATGAAACAGAACTTGAAGAAATGCAGAGTAGACTAGCTGCTTTAAAGTCATAAAGTAAGTATCCAGCACCAAGCGGGTCTTAAATAACGAAATTTGCGTATTCCAACAAGCCGAATTCATTCGAAATTTTATCTCAAAAGGAAAACCACTAAAACAATTAACTTAGACTTAAAAATCGCATCACCTACTGCATTACAGTGCACTTTCGGCCACATCGATATCTAAATGCAGTTTTTCTTTGATCTGTTGCATCAAGTAGGGTATTTTTTCAAAGTCGTTCATCTGCTCCCAACTATCCACGTTTATAGGAATCACACTGCACTTAAGAGTGTCTTCCATGATGGCGGCAGTTCTGGCTGGTAAACCTCGCAGGTTACTGGTGTTTTTCGTATAATCATGGTCAACACGTCCTTGTATTAGTACCCTGAAAGTTACCGACAGTTTAACCTTGAACTTATCCTAAATAAAATATTTATTTACTCACAATTGCTGGTTATCTTCCACCTTGATATCATCCACATATTCCACACTTGATTGAAACGGCACTGGGGAATTGTTCTCGAAAATGATCGCATGATCTATTGAAACGCATGAAAATGTTAATGTCGTTTATAAAAAACAAGTTAAACTTAAAATATCTTTTACAGGGCGTTAACCAAAGGGAAAAAATCGGAATAGGCAACTTGCTGAATAATCAGCATTGTGATACTGTTCAAAGCGTCTTCAATAAGTGATTCTACACAAGATTAGAAATAAATATTTTCGCAATTGATTAAAATTCGTTGATATTGTAAATGAAACTAGATTTGCTCTCTTCGAAACTTAGATGATAAGTTGCAAAGGAGAAGAGTGCAAAACCGATTCTAAATTCTTAGTCATTCTATACGGAAAAATCGAGATTTATTATGTGATATTTAATTCAACAGTTGTTATTCGAATGCTGGTAATGCAATAAGTCCGATTGAAAATCCTAACTAGTTCTACTGGAAATGCTAATAACACTGAAATGCACTTACCTATTCGGGCGCCTAATTTCCAAAGCAAATCGGTCAAAACAAACTGCTTGCCGCCCAAAGCTTTCTCTAAAGCGCCCTCAAAGACGAAACGTTCTGGCTTTGGGTACTGGCGGATCAAATCTTTGGGGTCCAAGTTAGCCGGCAAAAGTTGCGCCAGATCAGGCTTGTAGGTGGTCAAGCATTGCCAAATCGTAAAATACTGCTCATAGTTCGAATAAAAATCTACAAAAAAAAACAGATTTTAACGCAATGCGATTTGTGGCCGATGTTGGAAGTTGGGTGGTTCTGCTTTAGTAACTTGCAGTATTAACTAACACGCTTGCAAAGAAGATTTTATGTATATTAGATTTGTAATATATATGCAGATATTTATAATGTAAATTATGGAAATGTATCGAGTTGGACAGGATGGTAAACCCTACTGCCCCCTAACTGGGATACGTTCAACTGTGGCAAGCAGAAGTTTTAAGGTAAAACTAATGGTCTGTGGAGTTTTAAGTCGATTTTCCATCCTGTTTAATCGGTTCAGTTTTGACATTGCACATTGTTTTGTTATTTATATTTTTAAGCTTTAGAATAAGCACTGATAATTAATGTGAACTTGCTAAGCATTAATAAATAGTATATTTATTTAACGGTGTTTTCTCATAACACAGTGAACAAAGTGGACAGGTCCAAATGGGCATTTATCTACTCACTTTTCTCTATCAAGTGGGACACATAGCCTTCATTTAACGCTCTTGATAACACGTCGATTCTGTAAATGTCCAAATGGCAAAGAGCGGCCGCAAACCGAATCCAGATGATCTCTTTTCGATTTTCTTCCGCTAATTTCGGTGCGCTTTTCATCCACTCTTTCAAATGCTCCCAATGGACGGGCTTGTAATCCGTTAGGACAAGGTTTACTGCAATACTGTATATATCAACAGGATCTTTTGGCGCTGATGGGTTCTTGAATATGTGTGTGGATACATAATCTAGTAACGATTTGTGACAATGGTGCTAAAACGTTTAAAAAAGTGTCGGTTTACGCTTGGCTAAAACACCAAAGAGACTGGTGAAGTGTAATATGAAATAAGTAACAATACTGGGACACTGTGAAGGTTTCTTGGCCAAGAGCTCCATGCATTTATCACAGTTAAACCGCTTACCACTCTAGCCATATTCCTTAAAACCCGGATAGCTCTTTTGTAATCAATGTTATGATCAATGATGTAGTTGGCGCATGTATCAAACAGCACCTCCTGATAGTAAAACCCATATCGATTCGTCGATCTATGAGCAAGCCGGTTAAGGCAAAACTCCATCTCCACTATGGGTACGTTATCGATGTTCACAACCAAATCGGTGCTGGCTTTTTCCAGCAGTTTCTGATAAATGGAATTTCGAGGCAGCTGGCAAAGGTAACAGATGATCCTTCGGGCAGTTTCTCCATCAAATTCACCCGGATAGGATTCCAGGTTTTCTATCAGGACTGTAATAGTTTCCTGAGATAAATGATTATTCACTGCATAATTCAAACAATCGACCATCTGAACTGGGTTGCTGGTATTTAGTTTGGTGGGCACATGGATTTCGAACACCAACGGTAACGCTATCTTCAGAGCCTCGACAAGCGGCGTTGTTTCAAAGTTTCTCAACAGAAAATCCAGGAACAAGATGTGTGGAATATTCAGCGAATTGACGTTGTTTCGGATTACTTGCAACATCACTTGAACTATCAGACTCTTGGCTGGAATTCCCACATAAGAGACGACTTTTAACGTATCGATGGCGTCGTTTACATCGATCACACCGGCGTGTTTCTTTATTTTTTCGCATATTTTTGCGAAATCTGGATGGTTTGCAAGTCGGGAAGGCGATAAACTTGAACTGAAAAGCCATAGGGGACATACATTCTTCTATTGGTAGTTGATGAGACATAAAAAGTGTATAGCTTCGACGTTGATTGCAATGTATCTACTTACTTTCCATCTCTTTGGAATTGAAATATCGCATTTATGGCCTGAATCGAATGCCTTTCATTCATTCGTCTATGGTGCTTGTGGACGATTTCAAACACTGCCAATGGAGAGTTTGCTGTTCTGATGCTGTTGAGCAAACTGTCCTCTTCATGGTTGTCTAGAGGCTTGAAAAGGTCACCTGAAAAATACACCTCATATATTGTTGCAAAAAGACCAAATGTCTTCACGATTTCATTTAGCAATTTAGTGAGTCCCTTAGATTTCTCCCACATGGACCAAATCTGACCAAATGCCTCAATCTATCTAAATAATACAAGGTTGTTTACGCCTACCTGACAATATGGGATTTTTCGTAATGGAGACACTTCGGAATGCTCCATAGCTGTTCGCAGATGTTCTGCATATGGCTCTTGACAAAGCAAACATTACGGTATTTCCACAGAAAAGCACTATAACAAGACTATATTTATTTTTAATCAAACGCAACTCTACTCGCCACCTTAAAGCAGCACATTATTAAATTCTGAAATGCATTGCATGGAACTGACTCGGTTTTAGGGCTTGTAGGCCGTCGGAAAGAACCATTTCCTTCGGACGTTTCGCAAGCACGAGTGGCGAGTATCTTCATGCTTGCAAAAAAGCTCCAAAAGCGCATCTGCTCCAGAAATAGCTGCGAAAAAGAATGGAACCCAAAAAAAATAGTTGAGAGCCATGTAACTGATGCTGTTTAACTAAATTGCGCTCACTTTTCGGCAAACATTGCTCTAAAACCGAGCACAATTCTCTGCCACCACTTAAATGAAAATCTTTAATTTTAGGAAAACTTTTTGAACTCTACCTTGAGCTAGTTGGCAAACAAAGGCGCTTTTACCTCAGACCCTAAATATTAAAATCTGTTTTGGGGCTTCCTTGCATTTAAACTTTCAATTTGAAATACTAGCTTGAAGCACACCAGATTTGAAGGTTATGAGCTGTCAAAAATACCGTGTCTCTTACCTCTTAATAATAATAACAGTGCCTTGAGCCTTAAAACGTGGAGTTTTAGTGTTTCAATGTCTTTGTGCACTAATTTGGGGCTTGACAACCGAAATAAAACACTAAAAAAACAAAACGAAAGGGAAATGTTAACATTGCGGTTAGGTTATTGTTGATTTGAGGTTGGGTTGGGTGCTGTCAGGTTGAAATTTGTTTAAAGCTCCAAGTTTAAACCTGCAATATTCCTCTGTTTTTACTCTATTTCCTTCAGATTGCCCTACTTAAATTCTTTGAGGCTGTTCTACCGAAAGGTATTGTACTAAAGTGTCCAAATGGCTGCTTTTGAAGGTGAGTCTCAGAACTGGTTGAATTGAAATTGAAAAAAATAGTGAGGCTTTTGATGTGAAAATGGCAAAATGAGCCGGAAGGCGAATGCACGTTCATCTGAAGCTAGTGTATTGTTCACAAAGCTTCATAGAGTTAAAGTGGAACTTTTGGGTCTTCCAAACATGTTCGGCAATGAACTGATTTACTCGAAAGCATTTAACGAAAATTAATGCAAACGCTTTCGCTTTCTAGAGTTTGGTGTTCTGCCTGAGCTTGCAAAAGCCATTGAGGAGCTGGAATGGACGTGAGTACTAAACAACCGATCTTTGAGGTAATTTGGTGAACTCTTTGCTCAGTCTGCCCACAGATATCCAAGCCGAAAGTATTCCTCTGATGCTTGGAGGTGGCGACATTCTCATGGCTGCTGAGACTGGCTCGGGAAAAACTGCCGCCTTCTGCCTGCCAATTATCCAAATAGTTTGGGAAACTCTAAAGGATATTCAGTCGGGAAAAGCCAGCAAAGCTGCAACTGCCATCTGTACGTTTACAAGCGGTTTTTGGTTAGTAGTTAGTTGTTTGTTAATTTCCAGCTCCTGCTTGGACGTTGTCCACTCACGATCGAGGTAACGCGCTTGCTGTCGCCCCCGACGGTTTACGGGTGCAATCCCGCGATGTTAAAGACTGGCACGGAGTCAGGTGCACCAGAGGCATAAGTGGAGGCGGAAAATGGGGCTTTGAAGCCACCATCGCGGATGAGGGCCTTTGCCGGATGGGCTGGGCCACTTTGAATGCCACTCTGGAATTGGGAACTGATAGGTGAGTGGATTTTGGGTTTTACCCGACATTTTCCGTTCTATCATTGGGCCGATGGCTTTAGATTTGGTTGGGGCTTTGGAGGCACCGGCAAGAAGTCAAACAACCGCAAATTCGATACTTATGGCACAGCTTTTGGAAAGTCCGACGTAATCACTTGTCTGGTGGATTTGGATGCTGGCGAAATTAGCTTTATGAAGAACGGCACTCATTTGGGGCTGGCTTTTTCTGGTGTCAATACGAAAGAGCCCGTGTTTCCGGCCGCTGTTTTAAAGGTAGGCACACAGTTGTCTACAATATGTGTGTGTATATTGAAGAATTTCAGAATGCAGAAATGTCGTTTAACTTTGGCGATCACCCTTTCAAGCACAATTTGCCCGAGAAGTTCCTACCTTTAGCGTCCGCCCCAAAAGACAAAGTGGTGATGAACACTAACACAGGCAGTGGAAGCAGCGATGGACTCGTCAAACGTGAGCAGCAGCTCCGAAGTAAGACGGCAATTTTCACCGACGTTTTGCCCCTGTTTCAGTGGCGAATAACGCGCCGCAAGCCCTCATAATTGAACCGTCCCGCGAACTGGCCGAGCAAACCAGCAATCAGATAAAGCTCTTTAAGAAATACATTGAAAATCCCTGCATTAAGGACCTGCTGGTTATTGGCGGCTCGAATATCAAGGAGCAGATGTCGATTTTGCAGAACTCCGGGGTGGATATTGTGGTTGGAACCCCTGGCCGATTGGAGGATTTAATTCAAGGCGGATACATGTCGTTGGCGAATTGCAGGTTTTTCGTGCTGGACGAAGCAGATGGCCTGCTCAAGCAGGGTTACACTGATTTCATTGAGCGACTGCACAAGCAAATGCCCAAAATCACTGCGGATGGCAAAAGGCTGCAGATGATCGTTTGCAGTGCCACTTTGCATGATTTTGAGGTAAGTTTGCGGTGGGTTCTACGTCGGAACCAGCGGTAAAGTAAGGAAAATCATTGCAGGTGAAGAAAATGGCCCAAAAATTAATGCACTTCCCCACTTGGATTGACTTGAAAGGCGAAGACGCTGTTCCCGAAACTGTCCATCATGTGGTGGTTCAAGTGGACCCGCAAAATGATCGAACCTGGCAAAATATTCGAAAACACATCACAACTGACGGTGTGCACCACCAGGACAACGTGAAGCCTGGCGATAACAGTCCCGAAACCCTGAGTGAAGCAGTGAAAATCCTTAAGGGCGATTATGTGGTAAAGGCGATAATGGAGCACCAGATGGACAAGGCGATCATTTTCTGCCGCACCAAGTTGGACTGCGACAATCTGGAACAATACTTGAAAGAAATCGATCCGTCCTATACGTGCGTGTGTCTGCATGGTGACCGCAAGCCGCACGAACGGAAGGCCAATTTGGAGCTTTTTAAAAACAATGAAGTCAAGTTCCTCATTTGCACCGATGTGGCTGCCAGAGGCCTGGATATTGTTGGCCTACCTTTCATGATCAACGTGACTCTTCCCGACGAAAAGTCGAATTATGTGCACCGAATTGGCAGAGTTGGACGAGCCGATCGCATGGGATTAGCCATCAGCTTGGTCAGCACTGTTCCAGAAAAGGTAGGCAAAATTTTAAAGAACAAAAATAATTGATTGCGCAAGTGTTGCGG